CACGTGTAAGAGTAGCTATTCATCTCCATCATCATGTTCATTATTGCCAGCATCATCTTCTGTGTTGTGACCTCCTCCTCAGTTCCTCCTACTACTTCGCTCCCGGCCGAACTTAGCCTACCTCCTGTGTTCCCTTCCCTTGGTCGTGGGGTCTGTCCCGAATCTTCGGAACCTGTCCTCACCGCTGGTGGTTCTGGTAGTCCGGTTTGTTGGGGAGGTGGTTCAAAAGGCAGGGGTGGATAGAATTCATCGCCTTGAGTTGATCCTTCGGGGGTATCAATTGCACCAGGCAATGGTCCCAAGCTTTGTCTTAATTCCTCCAACATCCTCCTCTCCGTCTCCTCTACTGTTTCTCCTGGTCTACTCATACTTCTTGTAACTCTCCTCTCTGGCTGCATACAATCTCGAACTTCTCCGAGGTTTGTACGGGTCGTCGGTAAGAGCGATCCTTGATACTGTCACAATCGTCGTTTCTTCTTCTCAACTGACCGACGGTCGACAAACCTCGGCTAACTACGTCGTAGTGGGGCGTCGATGTCTCACTAAGACAGGGTACTCGTCGAGGAACTACGGCTAACTTCGCCGTAGTAATACGTCGAGTGGTGAATGATAAGATGATCGTCGATGAACTACGGCTAACTTCGCCGTAGTACGTTGAACTGCTCGGTGGTAGCTCTCCTTAACTCGAAGGTTGTAGCTACTGAATATATCTCTCGCTACTGACAACAATCAAGGATCGCTGAAGAAGTTCAGCGATCTGTAAACTATCTATACTACTCCTCTCTTCTCGTAGAATGTCCCTCAACTCCTGCACTGCCTCACGCTCAGTCCTCTTCGTTCAACTTCGCCGTACCTTCCCCTGTTCTGCTCTCCCTCGGTTCCCTTCCCCTAACTTCGCCGTAGTTCCCCGCTAGGCGGGGTTATCGTGACAAATCCCCTCTTGGTTCTCGTAACTTAGCCGTAGTTGGTCTCAGTGGTTCGAGTGGAGGTTGGTAGTGGTGAAAAGGAAGGTCGGTGATGGTGGAAGGAGGGTCGGTGATGGTGGTTGTCAGGGATGTTACGACGTAGTTCGTGACACTTCTGTAGGTGTTGGGTCATCTCCGTATCCGTAGGGTTCGACTTGAGCATAAGCATTCGTAGCTTGCGTTCGACATCCGTACGATGTTCGGGTGTTTGTAGTTGCATATCTGTTGCAAGGAATTTCCACATATCGTATGCGGTTCGAAGAGATCGTAGATCAATGAGCAAACCGCGTTCAACTTTACTCATGATCGCACCTTGAGCTCGAAGTTCGCGTTTACGCCACGATTCCCAGCGCTCTTCATCATCTGAATCGAGTGAGGTGTGGGTGATAGTCTCCTCAGCTGTAGGTACGACTGAGCCTGCTTGAACCGTACGAGCGATCGTAGGTTGGCGGTACGGTCCGACATCTGTACCTTCGATTATCCCAAGACATCCATGGATGAGGAGATAGTTTTCTCTGGCAAGTTTCCAAACGAAGTAGTTGCTTTGACTCGACAGTATGGGTACGGATTCGAGTCCGATCGTAGTCGAACGATCGTGCGACATTGTGCTTTAATTTCAGCTTATGAATCGTATTACAATAATAGACTCTCGTAGAGGACTTATCGTACGCAAGACGTACACCAGAGGCCTCTACTGTGTACGCCACCAGCACGGACTGGATTTTATACGTCTACAAGGCGACGTCTACGTCACAACCGAAGGTGGACTGTCCTTATTTCTCCAACTACACCAGTACGGTGCTTCGTGTACGGTTCGTCGTACGGTTCCCGATGTCTTGTTGGGTCGGTTCGTATGCACGTTCGAGTGCGTACGATCGGTGCGATATCTTCACTAAGTCTAAGAGATCGAGACTTTTAATCTGTTCGAATGTGTACGACGAGTACGATTACGATGATAGTAAGAATTGCATTGTAGACTACGGAATAAAATCGTATTACCAATCCGTATCGTAGTTACGTGGCATTACTTCAACAGTGATGCTGAGGCAGTGAAAGAATTCCACCAACACTTCCAGGGCCCTGGGGACTGGCCTATCCCCGCACCTTGCGTACCGAACTTGACACTGCAGCATGAACATACAGTACAAGAACAGACGAGCAAAGGTGAAAGAACACTATATTACATTCAGGAAGCCAAATATATGAGATCGGATGAGGAATCCAAAAGGGCAAGATATGCGGAACGCATTGGAATGCGATCCAGTGACCCCAGCGTTGTTGTTGCAGTAACAGCAATCACTACCTTTACGGCAATACTGATGACACTATAACACACATGTAATTGTGTTTGGCCAGCTTCCATCCACCAACCTGGATGCTCTCAACGTGTATATGCATGCCACAATGTCCGTTTATACTTGTTCACATTATATTCTCTACCGTCCCACCGTACATTTTCCCGCACATCTCACATACGACCCGGCTGTTCTTCCCCGACCCTAACACCGACATTCTTTCTAAAGCTCCCGCCCTCCTACTCCGACATGACCACACAATACACCTGAAGCTCCATCAAACCCAGATAAAAGACGTTACTTTATCGCTGAACCACATCCACATTCGAACATCGTCCCCTGAATCCTCTATCGACTAACACGCAGCTACGTCATCACCCATCCTACTGTATTCCTTGCCACGGGCAAATGACAAGTCTTCCGGCCACAACCAAAGAGTCTCATGACACTTTAACTCCACCAGGTCGGACAGTCTCATCTGATTCCTTGGACGTTTTAGACTCTCCCGATTCTTCTCTACGCGGGACTTCTTGGAGTCCGGGTGGCGTACCTTCTTTCAAAACCACGGCCATGGGTTTCTCCTCGGATACACTCGAGTTATCATCGCTCGTAAACGGACTCGAGACCACTCCGTTGGAATACATCTGACTCAGAGGACCCGAATCTGTCGATGTAGAAGGTGTAACAACATCTTGTCCTTGACGTAGGAAATCGCTTTGGGCTAAAGGTAGAGGTTGCAAGGTGGGTAAAGAGGAGGAAAGGGGTAGATGACTAGATGTTGAGGAAGGAGGAGAAGGGTGAAGGTTAGAACGAGATGATGGCATCGGTCTTGGGCCCCGTAAAGAGGATTTACTCGTCGCAGATTGACTTGTCGCGCGTGTGGGAGAAGAAGGCAAGGCAGCATTTGGGATAGATGTTGAGGGTGAATCATGAGAGCGGGTTTGAGTAAGAAGTTTGGGTGGGGTTGAGAGAGGGAAACTGGCTCGTCTAGGGGAAGGAGATTTGGGAGTTGTTTCGGACAAAGATACTGAATCGAGTCGAGAGGGTATAACAATAGTTGTCGAAGTAGTCTTCACAGCTTCACGAAGCGCCGGGGGCAAATTAGGGTTGACGGAAATTGACGATGGATTCTGAAATATTTCTGAGACTGGTCTATTATGGGATTGGTCGTTTTCAGTACGATTGGCTACAGTTTCATTGATGATGGCGGAACTAGAAGAAGCTCCAAGAGATGTCGAGGAAGGATAAATGGTGTCGAAAGACAGCCGGTCCATGGGGGGCGTGACAGGTAACGTAGGGATATCCTGTGATGACGCGGAAGGTTTGGGAGGTACAGGGGGAGGTATGGAAAGATCTTGATGCTTTGAACCAAGCTTATGTTTGATTGTCCCAAATATCGATCTTCTTCTCTCCATGTCGGCCCCAGGTGGACGTAACAATTGCGACTTGTTTGACTCTGGTGATGGACGTGTCAAAGCCAAACGGTTCAGAGGGAGAGAGAGTCGTAGCTGCCGAGAAGGGGAGACAGGGACGGCGGTTTGCCGTGCAGACGGATCGACAGGAAAAGCTTGGGACTGTGATGGCGGAGATGAAGAGGAGGATAAAGACGATTTGCCGAAAGGGACAGAGAGGTTTGAGAGATTGGGAAGTTTGAAGATAGATGCCCTTTCAGAATGCCCGTTCGGAGAAGTTTGTTTGGGCTGCAACGTACCTTCGGCGGCGCGAGCTTGTTTAACTTGCTCCGCCTCTTTCGCTCGCTGTTCTCTGAGCTTGTGTTCCCTTTCCTTTCCTTTCTGTATCCGTAGCTTCTCCTCTCGTTCTCTCGCCTCTGCCGCCTTCTTCCGCAGCTCCTCAGCTTTTCTTTTGACTTCTTCCGCTTTCTGCTTCTGCTCTTCTAGCTTCTTCTTCTGCTCTTCTTCTCTCAACCTCTGCTCTTCGACTTTCCTTCTCTCCAAATCGGCTTTCCGTCTCGCCTTGTCCTCCTTCTCCTTCCTCTTGGCATCTGCTTTGGCCTTGATCTCCGCCTCTTTAGCCACTTGCTTCTTCTGTTGAGCTTCTTCATCTCTCTCTGCTCGTTGCTGGATGACCTTAGCTGCGGCAGCTCTCTCAGCCGCTTTCTCGGCGGCTTTCGCTTCCTTAGCCAGTTCCTTTTTGCTCTTCTTAGGCGAGAGAGTGGGGGTGGAAATCTCTGGCACCAATGGCGAGGGTATTATAGGAGCGACAGGTGGGGCGTCTACCGTATGTGTCTGCTTGCTAAGAGGACTTGGAACGACTGGGGCGGACGAGCTTGGCGAGACGTCCGACAATCTGGGAGAGGATGTAGACAGACCGGGCGAAATGGTAGGGACAAGTTGCGCCATGGGTATGGACGGCATGGGAGGAACGTGCGGGCTGGCCCCTTCGGGTAGGTGATATATCCGATCATCATGTGGCGGGCTTGATTCTGGCGTGGCAGTGAATTGGCTCACTGTGGTAGCGGCAGATGCTGTAGCGTACGGCTTCCCAATGTAATGTTCACCTCCATCCAATGACCAACGTGCGGAAGCGCTTTTAGCTATCGGTCCTCGACGCTCGTTCAAACTTCTCCGTCGTTCGTCAGAAGGTGGCAATGCCATTTGAGCGGCAATCGCGTATCCACCTTCCCTAGGTCCAAGGGTGGTGATGAAATCTCGAGAGTAGTAAGCGGATGGTGGACGTACGAGAGCAGGGTTGGATTTGGTCTTGGGCAATGGGAGATCGGTAACGGATTGTGCTATCAATTTGCCTGCAACTGGGGAGGTAGGTTGAGATTGAGCATCTTTGGTTTCACGATTCCTCCATGAAGAGCCTCGTTTGGTTTTCTGGTGATTGAGACCTGGGATATTGTTGACGGACTGACTGCGATGTGGTGGAGGATTTAGTTCTGGCGGTGCAGCAGGCCCTGCTTATTAGATCGAGGCTCTCTATGTCTTTGGGGATATCCCGCATTTTCGGCAGATACATTATCTGGACTACGCAAAGCAGGTGTGGGGACTAAAATAGACGATAAGGAATGGTGGATCTGGAGGTCTTGTGCCAAGACTTACAGAGAACATCCACAGGTAATCCTGGCTGAATAGGAGTCTGCTCCATCTGTCTACTCAATCTCCTGACAGTATCTAAAGGTCTCTCTCCCGCCTGTCGAGTTGGATTTGACTGATCGGGCATTTCCAAAGCCCACAATTCTTCACTGTTCAACGAAGCTATATCGGCACTTGTCATGGAAGATCGATTACTGCTCGATCCTGTCCTGCTCCCACGTCTGAAAGCAGGGTTAGGTAATCCCAGAGCATCCATAGGGGGAGTTTCGACGGAAGTCATGGTCAAACTTGGATGTCTGCGTGTGGAAGTGATGTCTGAAGCGACACGTATGTGTTGTTGACCTGGGGGCGAAATGCGGGAATGTGATGGACGTCGTGTCCAAACCGGATTAACCTCTCCGGGTATGTCTGCTTCTTCAGACAGTCTTTGTTGAAGAGAATCGATAGGTCTGTGGGATATGAAAGCGTGTCGGGATGAAGGTTGAGAAAAGGAATATTCGTAAGGATTGCTCTCGTCTGTAGGAGAAGAAGATTGATTCTAAAAGTTATCAGCGGTGCAAAAAGCTATGGGGCGCTTGGACCACCCGTTCAATCGCTGTACGAAGATACCCTGAGCTAGGTGGGAGATGAGGATGACGTGTGGCTGGTAGAGATTTGATAAGGAGGAATGTGGTGACAATCGAAGTTGATGGGGGGAGGTAGGAGGTATTTCGGAAGCTCCTGTTTGTGGCTGGGTGGGGGAGGTTTTCAACACGCCTCGAGCATATGGTAAAGTACGATATCCACGAATAAGATGTAGAGAAGTATCATGAAAGTGTGGGTGGGGTGGGGGTTGGGTGGAATGACAGATCGACCAGCTAAACACCTTATCGGTGAAAAGTGGTCGGGTCGCGGGTCGGGGAGACGGTGAAGGGTGAATGATTAGGTGAGGTGATCGCAGACAAAGGAGTGAGGGCGAGGGTGATGAGAAGGGAAGATGACGTCGGTAAGACGGCAAATGCGGCAAGTCGGACGCCCCAAGGGTTTAAAGAGATCAGGAATGAGGTGGAGGGTGACTGCGAATAGCGATTGGGGATGGGCCGAATGACTCGATCAAGTAAATTCCATGGCATGGGGGTAATGGCTAACATGGGAGCATGGATCGCAAAGATGGCTTTTGGAAAATGATCGGCTCGAGATCGACTACTATGGGAAAAACTTCAAACGATCAAGGGATCCGCTTCAGGGGTAAAGAGATAGTCAAGCATGTAGCAGATATAAAGATCATCATTCCGAGATAAAGAGATATCACTCACCTCCTCAAAAGGTTGAAGTTGTCTTTGAAATAAAGCCGACATTATTGTTGATCCCCTCCTCGGGCTCTATTTTCTTGGCTCTAGTGATAAATGACAAAGGACGGGCTCGAGGTGAGGATAGACTTCAGGCGTTCGTTCAAACAACTAAGAATGGTCGGCGTCGGCGGCAAAGATGTATACTTCACGCTCGAACCACGTGTCATGAAACCACTCAAGCTTCACCTTATCTTTTCCAACTACCCTCCACTAGTGCTAGAAGTATTTCAAAGTGTCCCTCGTCCTCGTAGCGATACTGTTAAACATTCCCCCTTCTCTTCATTCACCAGCTAATGGTTATCGCTCGACACTCGGTCCGCAATTCGACGGGTCCAAGGTCCAAGCTCGAAAGGATGTATGTCCGAGGTGAACGTTGTTGATGGTCCTGAACTGCGGAATATCGAGCAGATCGTCCTTCACACGATTGATTTTCTTCCTACGCCCCAGTCATGTCACTTCACTGACTATATCGATCTTGAGAAAAACAAAAGAGGAAAGAGGAATGAATGAGGAGAAGAGAAACGGAGTGAAGGAAAAGAACCACACTGACGTCAAAATAACCTCGTGGGTGTATAGCCCTGAGGAGGGTACAAGTATATCCGGATAACTTGACCTCGGAGAATTTAAAATTGCATCTTCTCTTCCCCCATTGGTCTCGGCCAATTCATATAGCCTAGTCAGGTTCGCATTTCCAAGAAAGAGCGGAAAAACGAGGTGGGGCCATGTGCAATACGTATATGCATAGTGCCTTGGAGAGTTGCTATCCATTTCTATCTACATTGAAGGGAAGGGACGGATAGTGAGAAGACGTCACGGAAGTAAGGTGGCAGGTTCTAAAACGCCTTCACGACGCCGCTTCGGACTGTCTTTGGTTGTGGGATTGGTTCGATTGTACCCTTCGTTGTGCCGCAGATCGCAGACCAGGGGATAGATCTTGAAACCAACTCATCACTACACAATATGCATTCGTTATGTTCTTGCTGGCCATTGCTGGCTTGCTGGACCGCGGACCGTCGACACCGGCACCCAAGGCTGAGGGAAATAACCGTTCATGGTACATAGTTGTGGCATGTGGCAGGTTGCAGGTGGAGGTCGCTTGATTGCTTAAGCAGGAGGATTGAATATACATTTCCTACCCTCAACCAAAATCTCAAAATCCTCCCTTCTCCTGCTAGCTTTATATCATTTTGGAGCAAGATGCATCTCATGTATACCTTGGACGACAGGGGCAACCGGTGAGTCATCTTCTGTGGTACGAGAGGAATGCTGATCAGTAGAATATACACTCTCAAAGTAAGTTTCGTTGATTGAGCCCTTCCCAGATGAGCGACTGGGTATTTTAGGGAAGAGGGGTTATATGGAGTGGACGAGAAGAAGAGAATCTCGAGAGATGTATTTTGGGAAGAGGGGTATATGGGACGGATGAGAAGAAAAAAATCTCGAGAGATATTCTGGAAAGAGGGAAAAGCTAAATCGAACAGAAAATAACATCAACGGGTAAAGTATCGAAATCGGCCCATCCAGCTAGGTTCTCACCAGATGATAAATTCTCCCGACATCGTGTGACCATAAAAAGACGGTGAGTTATTTTGTCTAATTTCATACCTCATAATCCCGATATCTCACTGTCACTCGATTTTAACGTTTCACATTTCGTGATAAGTCAAGGAGATGAGTCACCGTGAAGCTGGTTGGACGATGAAAGATCTGTATTGATATACCAGATTTGGGATTTTACCCACTCAATTACCTTCGAAACCTCTCTAACCGGAGGGATATGGTGTCCTTTTCTTCCTGCACCAGTAGTAACACCCGAATAGTACCTTCTTCATGTTTGATGCGTTGTTCGTTTAGGACGAGGTTTATCGAGGGAGTGAGGGGTGAGAGGTGAAGAATCAAAGAAGTAAAGGAGCAAAAGATTGAAGAGAGAGGTCATGAGGAGATGAGAGATTTCACGCATAGATGAATTACAATTCATTTGAAATCATGCACAATGCTAAGGTATATTCCCATCTACATCCCAACCTAAATCCATTTGTCTCTGATGTTCTTTCTCCGCTTCTTCAGGTGTTAATCTACCTTTGGCCATACTTTGACTCGGAGGTATTCCATTTTCATGTGTATAAGGTCTTCCTGCATTTTCCCAGATTTTCAATAATCTAGCATGTTGTTCTTTCACCCAATCGTCTAATTTACACCAATCTATCATCAGTAAATGTTCCATCTCCTTCTGAGTTTCCCTCACATCTGATCATCATATTCCGCGTCTGCCGAGGGACGATGGGAGAAAGAGAGAAGAAAGAGAGAAGAAAGAGAAAGACACCCACGTAAAGCAACAGTCTCTGCAGTCACATCAAGTTGATTCCAATCACCCATCGTCCAGCCCATATCGATTCGATGTATTGGATCTGTGACTGGATCCAAGTGACGTAGCCATTGACCAGTCCGAGCATCTTCGATTTTTATAGTGTGAGCTGGGGGCATGTCGGCGTTTCCAATCCATGATACCTTATATGAGCGAAAGAACTGTCTGCAATCTTTCTCGAGACAAACAGAAGTTGTCCTTTCGGCTTGGAAGAAACGTCATATATCTAAGATAAAGTAGGGTGAGAGACGAATGTCTGCATATGACGGACGTGAGGACATGATTTTGGGATGGAAGTCAAGGAATGAAGAAAAAGATGTAAACTTACCAAAGGCCAACTCATGGCATACGCTAAACCCCTGAAATACTCATGAAAATATTGACTCCTACCAGCTGAAGTACCCCAATAAATGTTCCTCGAACAATCGAGATCCTTAAAAGCCGAGATGACATTAGGCATGACTAAAATCGTATCGTCGTCTGCTTTCATAATGAATCTTGGTCTACCCTTGACTCTACCAGGTCCGGAATATGTTTTGGCTACCCATTTGAAGTATTCATGTGTTTTACCCAAGTCGATATTGTCGATCATCTGTGTGTCAGCTTCAAGTCCCCGACCTCCAGGGCATCTTGATGTTCGCAGCTGCTGGATCTAAAAGCAAACACAGTACAGTTGAATGGCCGAGCTGCGGTGTGAGAATTCATGGAAAAAAGTGTGCTGAAAACCAAGGAATCAACTCACATCCAGCATGACCATATCATTGTGATCCTTCATCTCCTGTTTCACCCTGAGTAATGCAGCAGATCTAGCTATGGCTTCTGGTCCTACGGGATTCTCTGGAATGGCGGGCGTACCGAGTATGAATTTTATAGTGACTAATTCTGGGGGGAAGTCGGGAATGATAACTTTTCGATATCTTTGAGTCAGATGTCACTTCCGAAACGAGCCCACACTTCTTTACGAGAAGCAGGAAAATTCCACTCCCATTATCATTCCTAATGAAACAAATCAGCTGCCTAGACAAATGCCTCTCCAACATTATGAAGAGACGATAAGTCAGGACGAAAGAAAGAGAGTTATGTATACGGTCGAGTTGAGAGTATCAGTTCTATGGGATTGATATACTTTGAGAAAGGAAAATAAAAATCAGAAATATAGGAATGAAAAGACCTTCAACTCACAAATCTCGTCTTTCACGTTTATCAACAGCTGAAAATATACCTAAAAACACCATAACACCTCTCTCTTCATCTTTCTCATCTAAAGGTACATCACAACCAATCCTACTTGGTTGAACCCCACTCAACAAAGCATAATCAGGTTCTTCAAAACTTCTTTGAATATCTTGATCTACTAAATGGGCGTCTTTACCCTTCGCGACGTCCTTTCCTTCCCCCGAATTTGCCGGACTATCATCAGACGGAGTGGTTGAAACTTCATCTCTCGTCGTGGGTGTGTGTGAAAGATGAGCCGCGTTTAAAGCTAAGAGTACTAGGAGAAATATGAGGAGTGATAATGCGTAAAGTGCGGTTTTGAGTCTGAGAGAAGGTCGGAGAAGTGTACGAAGACGGGAAAGGAAAGGATGAGGGGAAGGGGGATAAGCTCTAGCGGTGGAGGTCATCTATTGATTTTTTGTTTTAGTGACATGGGGAGATACAAGATTGATGATTGTTAAGAAAGAGGATATGATATGGTCTTGTGTGTGTGGGTAAAGTCTGACTGTTGACTGAGTAGAACGTCACAAACTGGGCGTAGGTGGTAGGCGGTTTATTCGGAGAATCTTGTCAAAGGGCAAAAGGTCGCGTCAGGTCGAACCTTCAATTTCTGAGCATTGCCATCGCTATCCAACCTGACGAATTATAGAGAAGGAATGTACTGGTTGAAACAAGATAGAATAATTTGGACGGAAATAGATGTACTCTATGACGGAGATACAGTAGGTAGGTTATAGGGCTCGAGGTGACCCGAGGATCCGAGGACGAGGAAAGGATGTTAGCAACGCCTCCAAAGGCACTTTTACTACTAGCTACTTGTAGGCATGCAGGTTACAAACTTGACCACCTCCACATTCCTTCCTTCACTTTCAACATCGTACCATCATCCATCACTTTTCAACCCAACTCATTATTTTCTCATAACCAAGAAACTCACAAGTAAAGAGAGATAAACAAACATGGCAGATGATGATTCTTGGGTCGCTGAAGTTATAAAACAGCTGGATATAAAAAAAGGAAGTTTGCAGCGGTTGGTCTTTTCTCCTCAATATCTCTTTCTCATCATTCACTTTTGATGGTTTCCATCATGATTATTATTCCCTCGACTGACCTTCAACAAGTAATCGGACCTCATCAGTTTATCACATATATCTTGTCTGATTACAAAATTTCATACCTGCTGTCATTCCAAATGTTCATGTAGAGGGCAATGGGTTAAGGGAGAGAGGAGGAATGGAGGGGAGAGAATGGGAGAAAAGGTCCGAGCGTCGAGCGTCGAACGGAAAAAGAGAGGGTGAACGTGAAGAGTTAAGTATGATTGTGAATCCCTAATACCAGATTGTGGAAAGAAGAACAGTTGTACCTCAAAGAAGTCGCCGAAGCCCAAGCCCAATTGGACAAATTGAAACAAGAAGGAGCCGATGGAGCTGATGTGAGGAACGCTGTATGTCGTGTTATTAATCTTCTCCCCTACATATCCTCATGACCTATACTCTCACTTCCCCTCAATCGATCCAGCGTCTTTGATTTGATTCTGCTTTTCCTGCTGTTCAAATACCCGAGCACGGTTTCTTGCTGATCAAATACCCGAACACGGTCGTGCCGGGATGACCAACATGGATGTGAAAGGTGAACGACAACGCGTTCGAGCTGACAACAACAGGCAAAAATTCAACAAGAAGCCATAAAGATGGTTTGGCGTTCCAGAGAAAGTACCGGGCAAGCTTTGAGGGAGTTGATTGTTTTCCTCGTGAGTTTTCCTTTTGATGGTACTCAACTGAGGCTGAATATATCATCAGGACGGCTCGTCAGGCGAGGAACTTATCATGAACACACAGTCGTATCAGTCCGCTTTGGCACTGAGCGAAGAGGTCACAGCTGCGTCGCAGGCAGAGATAAACAAGCGAGATGCTTCACCATCGAACGTGTAGAATGATCTTTATGCATCTTTCAACCATCCACCAGATTATAATGTTTTACCAACCACCAACCACATTTTCGACTCCATCATGGCACGAAATACCACATTCCACAAGAGGTTTCCTTCGCATGTCCATTGATTACGAGTTTAAAACTCAACTTCACAGGTCCGACACAGATGACCGAGCTCAGGCTATCAAACCCCCGCTCACTCGGTCTCCTCGTCGCATGGAGCTGAAGCCGATGAGGATGAGGAAGATGAAAGCGATGGTGAGGATGATCCATTCGATCCAACCGAAAGCTTCGGCAGCGAGGAGCTGGTGGCAGTAGGTGATGGGGTGGGCGGAACAGCGTCTACCACCGCCCAGAGCCGAGGTGAATGATGCGACACCTGCCAGCCAGAAGACCCATCTGAATGTCAGCGATGTGTCCTCGTCTCCGGTGTGGCCAATGAGTTCACTTGAAGCTAAGAAAAATAAGGTCCCGGTGATAGTCTCTCCAGGAACCAGGATCTCAATCCGGCTTGGAACGATTTCTTCCGCAGATGTCCACGTTGCAACTACACTTCTGAAGAAGTGCTTTCGCTCACACGATATTGAAGGGGAGACAGAGGGAGGCGGGAGACGTGCGATGAAGACGCCAGACATAAGAAGGAAAGACTCACGTGATGAAGAAGAAAATAAAGTGTGAGGCGATACTAGCTAAAAAGCTCGCAGCGTTGATGATGAACACAGCGAGGTAAGCGCCAGTGAATACGACAGTCCACCAAGAGACGAAACAAAGAAACTTGAGTCGGTCGCGGTAAGAGTTTGACGGATAGCTATTGTGGCTAGATGATTAGTGCGGTCTCCAATTGTGCTTTTTGATCGGCTATCCGGACAAGTTGTAGCAGCTTCGCCACGATTGGACAGGGATCAGCATGGCCAACCCAAAAAGCATATGAAATTGAATCACGACCGAGTGGGGTAGGTGAAAGTTTGGTGAAAGTGGGACGATTGGTCGTACGTCTTTCCCATTACGCCCCCTTCCAACGTATATCCAATGACAACCACTCCACCACGCCTTACCCATGTGTTTTTCTGCTCTGCAATACATTGTAGTACAGTGAAGTGAGAGGGTATGAAGAGAAGATATGGAATAAAACCCACTCGTTATACCTCGAAACCAGCCAACTGGTTATACAAGCTTCTATGATAGCAAAGAAGCATAGTAAACCCATCATGATAGGGTGACCCCTTCGAATATGTCCGTCCTATCATGTCAGTCTAATTATTTTCGCTCTTATCCTATCATCTCATCTCTTTTACAAGTGTATGCCTCAAGGCTGAATGAGGATCCCCTGGGGGCCAGTACGATCTATCTACTGTGTAGAGGAAATAGTCTTCTATTCTGAGATATTCTGACCCGCCACTCAACCTCCTCAGCCCTCGTCCCTCCCCAGTCCCAAACAGCGTACCGATACACAGAGATAGAAACAAAACTCACATAGTCCACCATGATGTCTGATATGTATAGCTGGAGAAGAGAAGATTGAAAGATATATGATGATATGAGTTGAAGAGAAAAAAGAAAGAAAGATGGCTAGTTCGGTGGTTGAAATCGACCCACCGCTCCCCCATTTTTCTCCCTTCTCACACCCCCGGCGGCATGACGTAGGCCCGATGACTCGATCGACGGACCCGAATGTGGCACTTTTCCCTGAACGTCTGTGCAACTCTGACTTTTTGTCTGTGCTCTTTTTGTCTCTTCGCGATCGCTAGACTACGGCGCATGACGCATGGAGTGAATGCATGAAAACCCAAGATATCAATATGGAGAGATTGTGTAAACAGCCATTGATAGATATAGAGGATGAAGAGATGATAAGTACCAGAAGGATGAATGAAATACAATAGGCAAATAGCCAGATGCATAACCCTCCGTATCAGATACAAAAAATCTATGCCAATTCTCCTCCTGTCGCCTAAGGGTATGTATGCGGTTTTTGTTCGAATCACTCAGGTCACACTACGTATGTGATGTAGAATCTGAACGAGAAGAGATGCCTAATCCTACTTCCCCAACACGTAGTAATAGATCACGTATAGCCAAACGCATCTCTGGTTGGACATCTTTTGACAGTAAATCCGCGGCCAAGGGGTAGAAAGTAGGTATATGTGTAGAGAACTGTCAATCAGCTTACTCCTCAAAATCCAGATAGTACTGATCATCCTCCACCTTACAACATGTCAGAGTCAAGACATGTGGTAAGGGGAAAGGCAGAACTCACTGCTTCCCGCTCAAAATCATACACTCCCCTCAAGAGCACAGTCACCACAGGCGTCCACGCAGCTACATTCCTCGGTTGGGTCTCAGGATCGATCTCCAGATAATCTCCAATTACATCCGTCGCCAGTCTACTAGTCAGTGAGTAGCTCAAAAAGGCGATCTGCAAACTCACGGTACTAATCTGTCCAAGACACCAGAACGAGTGGCTCGATGTGCTTCTCGAGGATCGCGGTACATACGTAGGAGGACATTGATGAGTGTAGCGGCGGCGGAAGTTTCTTGTTTCAGAAGGTTAGGAAGTTGCTTCATGAATCCTTACTGTCAGCGATATCCTCTTTCTGGTCGACACTTGTCAACTGCCTGATAGGTAACAGAGGGGATTTTAAGACATAAAGAAAGTTGACTCACCAACTTTCCATAACTTCATCCGTAGATCTTTGTCAGCATTGAAACGCCTGGCAAATCTCCAACTGTCCTCCAAAACCCTCATAAACCTCAAAAGATGCTCTGCCGGTATCGTGTTGTACACATCGTTGTTCGCTAACAGTCCGTCGGTCGTCTCGATGAGTAAAAGCTGAAGTACGCATTTGACGATGATTTGTTTGAAGATGCGTCGCTGCTCGGCGTATGATAGGGAGTGGGGGAGGGGCTGTGGTAAGGATGATGGGTCGGCAGTGAAGAGTGGGGCTGGGGTGACATAGTTTTGTGATGAGGCTTTATATCAGCGATCTGATCCTACTCTAGAAATAGCCTCTTGACGCCCGACACCCTGTGGCGAGGGTATAGCGACCACGACATCAAAAGTACCAGAAACGCTCACCGTCTTCCTCCATGTTACCAGGTTCAACCTCGGTGTGCAAGGCTGGATCAAACAATTGCGAGGCAGTGGTAATCTGGAACAACTCGATAAAGGCCGAAACTATTTCTTCCCAATTGCCAGGATCCATCTTTTTGACGTTCGATTCGAGTAGCTGCTGGAAACACGATGTCCCTATTCGCGCCAACATGTCGTTCTCTTCTTATTAGCGTGTGTTCTACTCCAGCTTCGGGATTCAACAGCGTGACGAAGTCATCCACGGTAGTCTCGACCGGGAATCCATATGGACGGCCACGCAGACATATAACATCCGCACGATGGGGGAACAAGAAGATCGGTGGGCACTGCATAGAAAATGAAGGCCGACTCACCCTGACATATACAAGCCACAAGAATATCAAGCAACCCATCCAAATATCTCTTCATCACATCAAAATACACAGAATACAACTCGATCATCTCTCGCAGAGCAGAAATCAGGGTTGTCGATAACCACACACTCATATCTTCTGCAGATTTGAATCTCGCCTCTGGTCTCGTCTCCGACCGGATAGGGGCATCGGTACCGTCTGTCTGACGAAGGATAGAAAAGATGGGGAAGAGAACTTGATCACAGACCATTCGCCAGAATTCCGGAGTGAAGCTGCGGCCATGTTCTTTGAGAGTGGAGAAGAGGCAGTCGAGAGATCTGGTGGTGAGCTGCTGAATGCATTTTGAAACTCTTTGAACGTCTCTATACAGAGTGCCAATCAATCCTGTCGCTGGCGTATGAGACAAATGAAACAAAGAGAATTAAAGGAGTAGGTATCAACCATGTTCAAATGGTGGATTGGAAACGAGATCAGACAGAAAGGCAAATGAAGGCGAGGGGGAATGAAATAACTCACAATCTTCTCACCTCCAAATCATCCCCACTCATGATTATCTCATAAAAGGCATGTAAAACAGGTAACCAATATTTCACCATTGGATCCTCTCCTTTCTCCCTTTCTTCTCCTGGTTGAGGTAAGAGACACTCTGGACATTCCAACATTTTCGGAACCAACCCTCTTACCATTTCGATAGCTTGTAAACTGATCTTTTGGAATTTTGACACTTTACAGAAATCCGTCAAGCAGATTGTCAAATCGGCAAAGGCACCATATCGTACGACCAAAGCGAAGTGTTGACGATATACGAGGGTGACGAGTTCGAAGGCGTAATTTGCTACTCTTTCCGTCAAAACTTTTGAAGCTGCTGAGAAGACGGAGAAAAGGGTTCGCCAACCGGATCGAAGGTTTTGAACTCGGGCTTGTAACATCTGTTGAAGGCATTGGAGTACCTATCGCAGTTAACAGATATCCACGAGAGTTTGTCCCATAGGATCTGGCGTAATCTCTTACTCTCTTCAAGACACATTCAGGCGGTCTCAAAAAGTGAATATAAAGTGAACGAAAGCGTGACAGATAACAGAGATCTAGATTGAAAGACGGATCACGGATCACGGGGGAGGAGGGTATGCTTTGATTTGTGAAAAAGACTTACCATCTCCCTGGCATCGGCATTCTTGTTATGCACGATGGTATATTCAAAAGGTTTCAAGAAATCCTTCTGAAAACCGAAATGTGACAATTCTTCCTTTTCTAAAAAGTTCATGGCCAATTGTCGTAGAGCGTCCAAAGCGAAGAAACTAACATTAGGAGAATTATGACAGCAAACTTGATTAAAGTGTTCTCCCAAGATCAACCATATATTACTCCATTCCAATCTTATTCTTCCCATGTTGTAATACGATATCTCGACCAATTTCTGTAAACTGAACAACCTCGGTCTCGTCGATGTTCCAGATGACTGAATTTCCTCCCACGATACTTCTGATAGAGCTTGAACGAAGTCTACTATGGCACTACCCGAGAGGTTTTTGGAAGTACTGAACACCATATCTGCCGCTACTGTTACTTGGGAAGAACGGGATTCATCTGCCACGTCGTCGGTCGGTCGTTTCTTGGAAGATTGTCGTCGAGCGTCTGGTACGTCCATACCGCTTGAGATAAGTTGTAATTTCTCCAATTGACTGACGCACGTGAGAACTTCTTTCCATGAAGCTTTCAGATAATTTCCGTCCGTGACCGCAATTTCGAGTAAAGATTTGATGGCTTCCACGTTCTTTTGTCGCATCTCGGTGACATTGTTCAGAACGGTGAATTTGGCCAAAGTGGTGACGAATGCGTTACGTTCAAGTTCCATATCGAAAAGACAGACGATGCGGATGGCATGTCGGAGACCCTCAAGACAAAGATTGACCACATCCATTTCGTCCGTTTCCTGTAACTGAGCAGACATTCCAGCGAGAAAAGGCATCCAAGCGACTTCGAACATGAATCGTACATGTTCTAACCTTGAAGCAGAGTAAAAGTGATCTGTAGGTCGAACAACTCCCCGACGCTGTTGTCGAGTCATTGCTTTGAGTAGAGCCTCAGTTTTGGAAGACATATTTTCCGACTGAGCGAAATATGCTTCCCGTTGAACGTCTCTTCCTACTGCCGCCAGACCAGATGGACCACTAGGTACGTCGATCTCATCTTTCATCTTTATCTCTTCATTCTGTATCTCGTCGTAAACCTCGCCAAGGAACTCTTCGGGAAGATCCTTTCCATCATTGATACCTCTGTTGTTCTTCACAAACTCCGATTTAGTCATACGTTTTTGCTTCATGTTCTTGTTGTGCGCATCGGTGTTAAGCATGATGACAGAGAAAGCCAGAATATACGCAGTATCGGCATTGGCGAATACCGTCTCTGGGTTGTTATGCATGAAACGTTCCGCAAATTTGAGCATGAACCGATCAATTTTCTGAGCTTCACCTGGAAGGCGAAAAGCTTGTAGGTACATCCGCACTGCGTCCGTGAATCGCGCACCGGAGAAGTCGAGCATATCCACGAATGCGTGCATTGTAGCAACATTAAACTCATCGGCCTCGCCGAGGTACTCACCAATCATTGCCTTACTCAAGCCTTCGGTAGAGAGCAAGAATCGAGCCAGGTCATGTGGCGTTTTCCGCAGGAAGCCGTGCTCGACGAGAAATTCGATCCCACGTTTCGGCTTGTAGTTGAATTGCTTGATGCCTTCAAGTAAAGTCGTCTTTCGCGCTTTTGCGCTTTCGAACCTCTCCACGTCGTCATCGATATCGGGTGATCCATTGTTTCGCAGAGCAGCTTCAGAGGGCCATGTGGGGGTGATCGTGGAGACTTCCACACGAGATCCAGTGTTACTGCGATCACGTCCTAATCCATCCACGCTCGGTCTGCCATCTTCAGATGGTTTTGTAGAGGACGTGATCGCCGACCATGCCACAAGTGATTTTAGAGCAGCCACCAAACATTCAAGAGACTGTCTGCGCAACTTGACCTCTGGAGCCAGTCCGGCATAGTGCGCTGCAGTTTCTGTCAAAGACGCACTGGTGAGCGAAAGTGGGATTGCGGGTGCGTCTTTGCCGTGTTGTGGCTTTGATGATCCCGCCTGCTCTTCTTTGCTCGGAGGAGCGAAATGTGTTTGACCGATCTTTGACACAATGTTCATGAGTCGCTCGTACACGTTTTCAAGTGAACTAGGGTCGCAGTCGTAGTTGATGTAGATCTCGACCAATGCTTGAGGGTCTTGACAGAGACGGATGAAAATGGCAAGGATAAGAGATTTTTGGCGCAATGTGGAATGTCGCATCTCGAGGATGGGAATGAAGATTTCGTTCAACAGAACTTCGATCTCTTTCTACGTTGTCAGCTCGATCTCTTTCAAATCACGCACCTTCAGCTGAGCTCTCATAGATTTGAGCATGCACCAGAAGATCTCAACCGACAGTTCAAAGACCAACGTGACGGGTGAGACGGCGTTCCGGCTGAGATCTGAGCAGAGGTACTGTTTGGTAGCTTGAAGGAACGGAGTCATCTCAAGGGACGAATTGCTTGGCACGCAGATGAGAGGGTTCACAAAAATATCGCTGTGCGCTTTGAGGATTGTCAAGATGAGGTGTAGAGAAAGGAGTTTGGAGCGCATAGCGTCGGATCGCAGGTCTCTCTCGGATTCTGTGACGAGTGGCTTCATGGAAAGTTTGCAAAGTGCTCGAAAGACCAAGAAAGCATCTTTGACGAACAATTCCTCTGCGGGGATCGGCCTGCCAGGCCCTTCCATGTCATCGTCATCTGCGTCGGCGGCGACACGAGGTTCTGGAGTGTCCAGGGCGTCGCCGTTGGGGACGGGGATAGATATAGTTGCAATGGGCAATTTGGCAGCTTCGTGAATCTGTGCTGCACCAGCAGGAATTTGATCATTAGGGTTAGGTTGAGCGAAAGTCGCACTAATTGTCAGCTCCGACCAGAATCTGAGGTACTCACAGTGTCATCTTCTCCTCCGACATGGGTTTCTCACCATCCTCAGGATTGGGTGTTGGCGGCACACTGCCTGCTCTAGACATTTGCTCCGATTCTGTGGCCCCGTTACGGCGTGCATCGTTCTCTCCCGCTGTACTCTTACTCCTCGGTACGACATTCCTAGGATCAGGTCTAGCAACTCGTCCGAAAATATGGTTGACCATTTGAGTCAAAGCACCCTGCGCAACCACTTGATTTGCCGCATCGGTAGAGAGGAGGAAGACATTGTACACTGTTCGGATAGCCTTTAGGAGACTGGACTGATGTACTAACATGCCCTTGTCCGTGCTCAACACCACGGCCATGAGAGCCTTGACAACCTGGAGGGCGACAGGAGGGGGTGAATGCTCAGAGTAAGACAGAGTAATGGTATGGGTGATGAGGTCTGGAAGTGGTGACATACCCTCCGGAGGACCGTTTGGCTCGGAGAAGAATGAATGTGATACGAGTTTTGACAGGAGATCGAGGGAGGTGATAAGGATCGGGACGCTGGTAGTCTGGGGATTTGAGATGGCCAGTCGTAGAGGTTCAAAGATCTCTCTTGGATGAAGATATGCCGCATCTGCTTGACATAGTTCCAATGCTTTTGTCGCGGCAGCCAGGAAAGAAGGAGATTTTCGAGCTTCTTTTGAATCTACTAATAATCGGAGTGGAGGAGTGATCAACACCGTGGAAAGTTGGGTACCGCCCCCATGGAGTGTATGCGTGATCGAAAGCGTTGTTGCAGAAGATGATTGTCGCGAATGAGGGGTCCTCGTCCTCGAAGGCCCAGGTGATTGTGGAGCAGAAGGGACGCTGGTAGATGCTGTGGACTTTGAATGTGATGGAGTACCAGCTCGAGATAGATCTACATCCTGGAAAGACGAGGTGCTCCCATTTGCCATTGCGCTGCCGATGGGAGGGCGAGGCTTATCATCCATTGATATCGTCGGCTTGGGCGGAGGTGGAGGTGGAGGAGATGTGGGTCGCTGAGCCTGAGATACGAGGATACGTGGCGGGGAGTCTGGCGGAGGTGTGGGGAGCGCTTTGGAGGGGTCAGAGATGGCATGACCGTTGGGGACTTGAGGCTTGGCGGAAAGCTCGTCGAGAGCGCTCTGGTCGTCGAGTTCGATCTCCTGCGTGATCGCCTCTCCCGCATCATCTGGTTGAGTCTCCTTCCCCTCAGAGTTCTTCTCTTCCTCAGACATGGCGGATGTTGACGGAGATGAGACGCATTCCATTTGAAAGACCCAAGAACGTAGGTGGAAGGGGGCGCGGTGCACCAGGGGTAAATGCCACGTGTAACACGCGTTATCAGGTTTCAACTGTTGCACCCAATTTGGTCAATCTCCCTTGTTTTCAAACACGAAACATGATCCTTCGTTCTAATTGTGGTGTGCGTCTTTCAGTTATACATATGATCGGGTCATATGACAGACAACTACGACGCTCTCTAATGGCCAATGGTAAGAGTGAAAGAATACGGCCTTAGAAACACGCATTCGAAACCGGTCGACGGGCAAGAGCTGTTCGCTGCTGGTATGCTCCTCAAGCCCTATCCTAGGCGATATAGGCCACGATAAGTCGATTCTTCAAGACGTGCGTCTGTCCGCTCTTACCCCCTCACATTCGATCTGATCCCGTCAGTACCTCTAACAATCTCTCTCTTGTCGTGATCGTGCCGATAGTTTGAGGACAATACAAGTCGACGACGGCTCCGCTTCTTGACGATCTGTAGATATGATCCTTCCTGTATGTATTCAGGATATCAGCATCCCGCATCCCACAGTGGCATGCACTGATAGAACCGGGGAGCCGAGCAAGGATCAGAGGAGCGAGTAGTCACGCCCGGCCCTTCACACTCGAGTCGATCGCACTCACGATCACGGGCCTCCTACTGTACAACATAATCAGGGTCAAAATCAACCTATGAATCCAGCTTAGCCGCGAGGATAGATTCCAATGGACGATCATCGATCGACCTCCAGGACGGTACTGGCTCTGATACAAAGTACGAGTAGAGTAGTGTGTACTCCTGTACTCTCAACGTACGACGCCCGATACTGACTCATCTTTGATGGTAATCACGGAATGTGCGACATGATTCCCCTTAGCGGATTTCGGATCGCGAATCGTTTCATTGCGTAGTCTAGGCGGGTTATTCGGCGCTTCCTTCGCTACCCTAAATTCACTTCACTTGTTGACCATATGACCTTGCTCCTGCTAGAAGCTAATTTCTAAATTCACTCAGTATATTCCTAAATCACTGGAAGTACAGATAGAAGAAGCTGTCATTATATCTCGCATCATCTCGTCCTATGACACGAACAACCACCCTCGGACTACACCCCCCACCCGCCCTGTCATATGAGACAGTTGATAAAGTGATCAGCGCCCTCGCTATCTTTCATTCTTCACCCCTCGGCTGATGCACCGTCGCTGATTGAGGTTCCGATACTAACAATAGCCGAACAATGCCCGCCCGCGATTAGCGTCAGATGGTAGACGACTAGAAAGCTAGGCGGGCAAAGAACAAGCTGATTGGACAATTTACCACTAATCTCGATCCACCTCGCCCCGTCTTCTCCTCTCTTCTCTACCTCCCCTTCTCTTCTCCTCTCTTTCACGTCTACAACCTAGCTCGGGATATCGTCTATTTTCTCCTCCTCTCTCTCTCTGTCTCTCTCTCGTCTGACGACGGGGATCTCGCGTGGAGACTCACACATAATGTACAACAATCGCACGTTCCGAGGCGACGCTCGTGATCATGAAGGGTCACGCATGCGTAGACCCATGCCCTCTGCACCGATGCCGATCAGAACGTCTCATCCTCCCGGCTCAAACATAGATGGCACTGTAGACATGAGACATATCGACGACGATGGCTGGCCTGTAGAGGACGCAGATGGTCAGGTGAGTCTGTCTATTCTTTATTAATGTCATGTCAAGAAGGCTAACGTCGCGCAGGTTTATGAGAGAAGGCATGACATGAGGTATAATCTGCCTTTCCACAACCGTGATCCGTTTCCTCCACGTTTCCGCAATCTCCCTCCGAAGCAGCGAGACAACAATTTACGTGAGCAAGTTCAGCCGCTTCGCTCGGCGAATGAGGCGGAGGAAGGGAAGAATACGAATACTCCTGATGATACACCGAAAGTTGTGAGTGAAAAACAAGCCCAAGGCTACTCCGAGCTGAATCCCAGCCCCAAATGCCGACCCCAGGGGCGTCTCCAAAGGTCGATCCTGTACCAGGGGAAGATAAGAAAGTGGATACCGAACAGTGTCCCCCTCCGATGTCGCCCATTGACGCCAGCGGATCAGCGGATAACAAGCAAGATAGCTATCCTCATCTCACCCGTGCAATTCTCCCCACTTACAAAGGCCGCGTTCTTGCCAGAGAAGAAGATGAAAGTGGGGAACGGTATATCGACAAAGCTGCGGTGTTCGTCGGCCGTTTGGTCAAAAGTCAAGAGAACGACCAGAGTCTCTTCCAGCGGTTCAGCAAATATGGAAGGATTGTAAGCATTGTTTCGAACACATGCAAGGTTGTGGCTGATGTCAGTGTGGTATCGAGTACAATCCCAAGGTGGCGCAATCGACCTATGCGACCGCACGGATCCTATTTGCGGATGAAGATGCCGCCTTGCAGGCTATCGAGCATGAGGTGAGCTAGCTTTTGAGGACGGCTTAACCGAATAAACATTGTAGCTGATAAGATCTTCAGCAAGGCGGAGTGTCATTTGGATCCGCCATCAAAGTCGAGGTCAGACGAGTTTTACCCATGGACGTACATGTCAGTAATTCAAGATATCTCAGATTCATCACTCATCTCCAGATGCGAGAAACATTCATCGATGAGAAAGGTAGACCCATCAGCCCTTCGATGGTATCACAATATAGCCCTCCAAGCGAACCTCAGGCGGATCCAAAACCCATTGATTCGTCCGTATCTATGATTTCGACGTCACCTAATAATCCCCCATATACCAGCTGTCTGCCGACGCTTCCTCCTGCACCATTATGGTACCCTCCGTATGTGTCGACAGGCCTGCAGCCGCCCACGACAGCTCCTCTCGGACCTGCGTGGGCATATGGGATGCCGACGTTCAGTGCACCGATGCCTGTGAGTTTCCATCTACTGACTGCCACGTCGACGCTGATAGCAGGTTTTCTATCCTTACCCCCAATATTACGGCATGTACCCCTTGATGCCCATGCCTGGGTATAATTCTCCTTACATACCTCCCCCTACCTCACAGACCTCACCACTGCCGGTCCCCGCGCCCCCGCTGGAACCATCGATCCTACCGACCCCGCCTGATTCTGTCAAGAAAATGGATGTGGAAGTACTTCCTGCCGTGGGCGGCGTCGAACCGATATTTCCCGATTCGCAAGAAGATCGACCCAAGATCATTGGATTCAAGATGGTCAACGGAGCTTATCGACCCGAGTACGAACCCGAAAGTCTTCGTCGTTATCAAGCTGGACGTACGTCATCGAATAGTGTACATCCCGCATCACCCCTAACCCATGCACAGAAGGATGAATCTAAACCTTTGGATTTACTTCCCATTCACACCGGAGGTCATGATCCACCACCCGATCAAATGACGAATCCCTGTGAACCACGATTGATTCATCTTCCTATCCCTTTCGCCTCAAACTCGCCATACGAAGTCGTCACTACCAATGGCGCGGCCGGTAGTGGACCTCGGATGATGCCATCAATGCATACTCCCCGAAAACATATCCCCTACCCTCGTGCTGAACCAAATGATCGTGCTCGACGTGCATCTTTCACGCGGTATTGAGGAGAGGAGATGAGTCGGAGATGAAAAAAACGTGTGTATGAAGTGTGTGGATCAATGTGAATTATTTTCTCTCGGTTGTCAAAGTGAAGACTGGAAGGAGAGATCATCTTGGGGGTATTTCAGATGTTGTAGTTTATAGTGAAATCCTGAGAATGTAAATCCGAATGTAGAATGAGATCACTACTTTCGAATTGCAATCACCGATTCACCGGCCACCGGTTTGATCATCGGTGACTTATCTAAAAGCCGGTAGCCGGGAGTTCTCAGAGCTCACTACGATTATTTCTGTCTCTTTTTATCCTTCTCATACCTGATTTCTGCCTCACTCATTTGTTGTCAACCACATCACTCTTCAAAGAAACTGTAAGAGGTAGAAAAAACGATGTGTAAAAGGGTTGTTTGTCCAAACGACGGTTTACCTACTTGGTGGGGATGTGGTCAGTCTTCTTTGCCTTCCTTGCCTTCATTCTTTTCTCACCATCATCAAGCATTCGAGATATGTTGAGAGATTTATCAATCCCAACTCAACGTATACATATTTCATACTCTTATCATCCATCATGGTTGTGGCGAGCGTCGTAGATCGTAAATAGAAGTGAGGAAAAGCTGACGTACAAGGCCAACATATTGAAACCGTCAGTTTTCACCTCTCTTTCTCTGATCTCTGAGTTACGTCATAGGGAATTTCGTTTCCCAATGGTCAATGGCTAGTTTACATATCTCCTTCACATTTTATGTTTGGAATATATGACTTTCCGATTGCAACACAATCCTTGAAATGTCCGACCCTCCTTTCTACAATGATCCTCTGGAACACCCCACTTCCCAATCTGCGATCCTTCTCTGGAACACCTCACTTCCCAATCTGAAATTTTCAAATGATCACCATTACAATGAGGACTGACGATCAGGCTTTGGCCGGCGTACCTAAAGAAGATAGATGTACTTGTGAACATGTCCCTATTCCTGGACGTCAAGGGATGTATGAGGTTGTCAAGAAAGATCAAGGAAGTCAGGATGTCGTTAATGCACCTACGGCCTGATAATACGTTGGGTCCTGAACCATCATGTTCTTTCATCTTCGTTTCGTTCAAGTTCGTTAAACAGTCGAGGAGGGTAGTAAATTAGTCAAGTTGCTCGTCCTAGTGTAGTATAAGAAAGTTGTCAGGTATGAAAGTATGACTTGTCGAGTGTACTGTAGTCGGCATCGTTAATCCTGCTTGTCTTGCACCACGCTCCATGTTCCATGTTCAGCGGATCAACCATTTACGTGCTGAAAGTGACCACATCATTAGGAGTATCCAAAAAATGCAGATGGAAAGATATATGTTACAGAAAACTGTACATGATGTCATGACATTTCAGAAGATATCACATCTGTCCAATCTTCCCCTTGACCCTCCACACCAGAACCAAGACCCATATTCTCCCATTTACCCGGACGAGACACCACCACGCCTTCTGGACCTTCTGGTAGTCGGGGAATACGGACGTGTCGTAAGAGAGGGATGTTTGAGATATTCAAATTTACACCTTGTTCGAGTAATGAGTACATGAGTCGAACGGTAGGACCGTGTGTCAAATCTGGGACTTCTGGGAGATTAGCTTGCGTCCATTCCAGCTCTGCTTTTCCACCAGCTATCCTGATTTAGGGAGCTTCGGAGCTTTGGAGTCGCTGACTGTTGATCCTGAGACGTGAATTCACATAGTGGGAAACATGAGATGGCGGATACGCGAGTCAGGCAAGGGTACCGGATGGGCTGGACTTTTAATGGAGGAAAGACACGTAACTGAAGCTCAAGAAGGGTGAAAAACAGAGAAGATGAAGGACAGCATGAATGATAACGCACCGAAACCAGTCTCCCATTCAGCCCATTCGACCCTCTTGATCTCCTCCAGATCAACGAGTTCCTTAAATTTTGGTCGACCAGGTCTCCGCTCTGCTTCAAGTTCATGTAATCTGGCATCGTTCCGCGCTAAATAGACATCGACGATGAGAGCCCGTAATGATGGTAAGGACAAAGGTGAGGCGGAGGAGAGGGAATGTAAGAAGAATGTTGGACGGAATACTGAGCATTAGTACACACTAGTTGGTACACATGCAAAGCCAATTCTGTTTCATGCACCGTCAACCCTCCGAGAATTGAACTCATCTCTCAATTGTCATTGGTTCAATAGACGATGATCTAGAGCAACCCCAACAAAGTTTTATGGATGGAAGGGGGGGTTGCTGATGAGGAATGGACGAGAAAGATTTGGATGAGATGACGAGATACCTACATTTGGCAGTCTTGAGCTCTTTCCTATCTTTAGCCTGGGCTTGAAGCTTCAATGTCCGTAAACTGACCCGAGCGAGTTGTCCAGCTGAAAATCATTAGCTGAAGCCCACGTTTCATCTACCAGGGATTTATAGCTAACCTTTACGCGAACCTGGATGAACACCTTCCTTCCCTTTGATAGTTTTCTTGGTCAATCGTCTGGACGGCATTGTTATGTGTGTAAGTTGTTAAAACTGGACATTTTACCAAGCGTCATCTGAACTTTGCAGCCTTGGAATTTAATACAGAAAATTACGTGAAGAAAATTGCCACGTGCACGCGCCTCTTGATCTCGTCCACTGAATGAAAATGGCAACTATGTCACCCATCCAGTACATCATACACCTCTTCGACAGCTTACCAGGAGCCGAGACAGTACCGCAGAAGAGGGGAACAAGTGGGAGGGTATCTCAAATGATCTGTTCAATCACGAAATCTTGACGACTTTCTCTCGGAACGACTGACGACCAACTTTCCTTCAACCTATCTTGATACTCGACATGGATCACCATGCCCCTTTATCACCTCTTTCCGACCCGATATCTCTAGCGAGACTCAGAATACTTCTCATCCCCATACACGCTCATTCTACCACTTCAGGTCATGCACTCTCAGAAACGATTTTCGATCACTGGCTCTCCCTCTTCAAACGTCATCAAACTCTGAGAGGTGACGAGCTGGTCCGACCCTCAACTTCCTCTTCCTCTCACTCTCGGGGTAGTACATCGGAGAGTTCAAGATTACGATTCTTTCCTACGTCTACTGGAACCTCCATATCTCGTGCGACAAGCTCAAACCAGGTTCATCTATCCTACGTCGGTCATCCACCCGCAAGACATCTGTACCCATTGAGTCTAGTCCGACTTACGGAATTCCCCTTGGTGGTCATTGGCATAGCGGTAAATCCTCACGATGGTAGACAACCTCAAGGATATTCTCTATCAGCTGGAGCAGACGGCGATGAAGGAGATATAGGTCAGGTCGTTACTCCAACAGCACCTACTTTTAAGAAAGAGTCGATACAATCACCTCCGCACACCCCGGCAAGAGCGTTTGCGGAAACGTTGGAGAATCTCTTTCCACCCACATCTCCTTTTCCCATCATAAAAAAACTAGTGATCGTCCCCTCGGAGATACCTGCCGTGGTGACTCCCAGTCCTTCACCGAGAAAATCTCCTGGACCGAACCATGGGTTAGGTACAGATGTCAAGAATGGAAAAAGGAGAGATGAAGGGGTGTATCATGCGCCCTCGGAGGGTGCTGATGGTTGGGTGGGGAGAATGCTCGGGGAGGTCATAGGAGAGGTATTTGCAGAGCTCGGCGATATGGTGTGTCCATCTGTCCATCAACGGTTGTTTGAACTTATTTGTGTTATGCTCATATGCAGGCTACGGCTTTCGAGACACCAACAGGACTTAAAACTCTTTCAGCGACAGCACTACCTTCACTCACTTCTACACTACCGCATCCATCCGATTACATGCGTCCCAGTTCAAGCGTATCAGGCCACGACCCTCCGGGACGCTCACCGACAACCACACCCACTGGCATAAGCACTTCCCAGTCATTGGACACTTTGAGCGGGATGGGTATATCCTTACATCGCTCCCTCACACCTGGTGGACGTCCGACTTCTGTTGGTCCTCCTTCTCAACCTCCCGTGCAATCAGCATCACTCGCTCCCACACCGTCCCCAGCGTCGAGCTCCGCATCCGCAAATCCCTTTCGACGGTCAACAGCTTTGACATCTCCCTTCTCACGCGCAAACTCCACCCAGTCGGCCCCCTTACCAACATCTATCCCATCTGCTGTCCCTTCAGTCACCAAGTATACCTCGGCGACATTATCTGGCGTGGCTGGAGGTCGATTGATGAAGGTTCTTGGCGATATGTACTTACTGGCGGGGATGTACGGTGACGCAATCAAATGCTATGATGATGGTGCTGAACGATGTAGAGCTGTCGGCGATCTGTTTTGGGAGGCATGTGCTAGGGAGGGGCGTGCAGTCGCAGGTATTGGAGAGGCATGGGAGTTTCGTGATGGTTCAGTGAGTCAACTTGATATGACAAAGACAACGGACTAATGAGAAGAATATGGCTCAACCCTTCCCTAACTCCCCCATTCCTGTCGAGATCTTATCCCATTATTTGTCCGCCTTAGCATGCCTATCCCGTGCCCCTCTACCATTCCCGCCGACTATCCTCTCACCTTCACCGATGGCAGTATCTGGTGCCCTCTCCTTTTCCCGGCCTTCATCGACTTCACACGTCTCCCCCAGCTCTGGGGAGGGCTTGTTGGCTTATCTTCACACCACTCTCTCCCTAAGAATATCACACTTCCTCCTCCTCATCTGGGCCGCCTCTGGCTGGGGATCTATCGCCCTTTCATCCCTCATGACCCACACATTCCCACGGACCTTTCCCTTTCCCCTCACAGACCTTGAAGTTTTCGACACCCGAGCTCGGCAAAGTAGACATCGTGCTCTTGTCTACCTCAGTCAAAAGTCTCAGCTCTCCCGACAAACCATCTTCTCCCATGTCGAATCCGCTCTGGCCGCTTATAACCGCGCAATGACGAAATCGGAACAGCTTCAGTTATATGTCGACGCTACCTGGCTCGGACGATGGTTAGACCTTCCCCGAAAAGAAGCCGCTTGTGCCAGGGAGGTCGTGAAACGCTGCGGGGCCATGGCCACTGAAGGTCGAGAAGAAGCTCGCAAGCTGAATCGTGGCGGCTTCTCTCATCAAGCTACGCATAAGCCACTCGGAGTAGATCCAGCATCGGCTGCTTCGGTAGGTTTAGGGCTTGGTATGACCGTACCGTCTTCAGCTCAAGTAGGAGTGCGCAGAAAAGAGTCTTCCGAGGGCAATTCCGCCATAATGGCCATCTTTTCCAGGGCTTGCGAGATCATGGGTGTTCCACTTCTATCTTTCGCATCTGCTTCAAAGCCTCACCAACAGTCCCCGCAGAAACACGTTGCAGGATCGGGAAAGATGGAGCAGTCATTCGGATGGCCAGAACTTCAGGTTGAGATGCTCAAAGAAGGTATCAGTGTCGCAGAGTCCCTCCCTGACCAAGTCTCGATTATCCGGCTTTGTCTTTCGGCATTGAAAGAGCTCCATCCTTATCTCAATGGAGTCAGTCAAACACACCTTAGTAAGATGTACTCCCAAGCGTTGGCTGTGACGCGAAGAAGAGGGATCGACTTTGGCGGTATACCATGGTGGTTGCCGGATAAGATTGTGCTAAGTTTGGAGGTCGCTAGGTCAGTCGATGGCTCTCCTTCGGTATCATCAGTCATCAACTGACACGTAGTCTTACGCCCAACCGATTACCTCAGGAACATTCTCTTGCTGAGATCGCTACGAACGGTGTGACACGCGACCCTTTCTTGTACAACCCCCGCGGACGTATTCTTGAACAGGGCAAGACGCTTCTCGTGGCAAATGAACAGATCGAGATTTTTGTGACACTGAAAAACCCGTTCGCATTCGAGCTGAACATCGCCGATTTATCCCTCCTTACTTCTGGTGTGCACCTTATCACTCAACCTCTTCCAATTTTACTCCCACCCTTGAGCGCACAGACGGTCCGAGTTACTTGCATCGCCCCCCAAGCAGGAACTTTACATCTTCGAGGTGTGGGAATAAGACTTCACGATGGTTCACATACCGAAGTTTTGCTTCCTATGATGGACGATGCCGATTTGCTCAAGGCTCAGAAACGTCGTAGTAGAATGTCGGCGGAATTGTCCAAGACGAAGCGTTCCGGGATGGAAGCTAGACTTTCTGTCATGTTACTCGAAGGAGTCAAACATGGGAGAAAATCCAGTGTGTCTGTACCCCAGAAATGGTTGGAATGTACGGTAGTAGATGAGCAACCCCTTTTATGGATTCGTTCGACTTCATTGACACATGGTACCATCATGTTGTATCATGGAGAGAGGTTAGCTTTCCTTTCCGTTTGTTCATGCCGGTGAAGCTAATTGACAGCTCTACAATTCGATTATCACTAGATAATTCTTCATCTACCCCGGTCAATTTTCTCAAACTCAGTTTTGACGATTCGACACAACGAGACGCTCAAGTGATATTACAGGAAGGGGAATTAAGTCCTGAACAAGCATACGAATTAGATTGGGATCAAATACACAATCCTGTTTTCTCGTGGGAGGCGCCAGATCAGACTATCATTCCTCCTAATGGTCGTTTGACACTTTGTATCAAATGTTTCGGTAAAGTTGGTTGGTGAATCCTTTCACTCGTTTTCCTCTTTTGAATCACACTGATTTTCTGTAGCACGGATGGAAATATACGAATAGATTATGGACATGTCGTTAAATCCAACGATGATAAATCTTTCTTCACTAGACATCTCGATTTCCCCGTTTTGTTCACGGTTTATCACACTCTTGAATCACATTCTCTTGATCTCACCAGACTTTTACCATCTCCCTCTCTCTCCTCCCCCGAAACAAAGTCTAATGGGTCAATCGATCAGTCAACAGCCAAATCAAGTACTTCTCATGCAGATGATATTTTGAGGAGTAAGTTGGGCGAGGAATCAGATAATGCACATTGTCTCGTCAGTTTGGACGTACGGAATGTATATGGAGTTCCATTCGAAGTGTCTATAGGACGTACCGGTTAGTTGTTCACCTTAGCCAATTCGCACGACTGAACTTCAGGTGATAATTCACAAACTTCTCGACTCGTTCCACCCGGAGCTACCGAAAGGTCAGTCTATCATCGCTTTCTTTTTTGTTTAACTCATGTCCAGACTCATTCTACCCATTCCGAGAATCCGATTATTGGTAAAAGATATATCTCGACCAATACCCATTTTGACAGAAAGACAATATGTCGTTGATAAACGACAAATCAGTCAAGCAGAGACAAAACGGAAAAAAGAAATGTTTTGGTATCGCGAACAACTCCTAAATCTATTATTTGCCAAATGGGTAGAAGTGAGTATTCCACTTCCTTTCAACTGCTTGACTTTTTTACTTCTTAGTGGGGAAGGTTAAAGAACTGATGGAATAGCCTGGATCACTTCGAAGTGGTAAACTTAATCTTCGTCATCTTCATCTTTCCTCAGAACATCTAGGTGTTTTTCGTAAAGACGATTTAGACCTTATTCTCATGTTACATCAAAATGATAAACCTTGTCTAATCGCACGGACATGTGAAAAAATCGATCTATCTTTGAAGATTATAAACCGACTTGAAAGATCTTTCAGACCTCTGATGAGGATAGAATCTTTACCTTCTTCTTCTTCCGATTCATCATGGGCTTCAATAGAACCTACGGTTAATAGAAGATATTCGATCCAACCCCATGTGTCTCGAAACATCTTGATGGATGGAAGTCAAATGACGATATTACCTTTGTTGGAACCTGATGGTAGGGCGGATCATACGATTTCTATCATTTTCTTGGCTAGTGGGACTTATTCTTTCAGAGGGGCAGTAGAAGAGATCTTACCTGATGATGGGGAAGAGACAAAGGTTAGGTTTAGTCCCCTTTTGATCGTCAAAGTGGAAGAATAAAGTGAAGAAAGGACCTTTGATCAAGTATTTGGAATAGTCTTATAATCTTCTTTGATTTCTACTCTGCATGATAGCATGATATGATATGAAATCTATCACTTGAGATCTAATTTATACCTAAACACCTACACACCTGGAATAGCCGAACAACTGAGAATGTGATACCTGAACAGATGAAAAGATCAATGAGCCATGACAGTCGCTTTGTATCGTTCCAAACAACCTCGGAGATCGCCCCATCTCTGAGTCTTGTCGTTCGAATCGGGCACTGGCATCAGCGTTCACACGACCAACGCCAGAACAAAGTGGATCTTTTGGATACTTACAGAATGCACCTGAACGTTAGTGTAAGATTCGAACAAGGGGATGACGACATACCATTGTTAACGACCAACACTTTCATCTTTGGATGATACTTCAATCCAGTGAGAAGTTTAGGAGTGATAAGGAAGTATTGACCAGCGTCCGTGTTACATGTCACTTCGACGAGTTGATTATGGACGTTGCGTTCTGCTCTTTGGTCCATCCCCTATGATCGTCAGTGTGGTCCACTCGACCGTCCGATCCTGTAGCGACCGCGGAAAGAAGTTTCGGGGACTGAAGACGACTGGTCAAGGGAAAGAGAGAGAGGGTGGAAGTGAAACACTCACCTGGTTGATCTCATCCACCAATGAAAAAGGTGTCCGAGACATTTCAGAGAGACTCATGAGGTAAGTGACAGTCGCTAAAGAACGTTCCTGCGTGTCAGTCTGGTACTGCTTAACTGACTTTTCATAGCCATCTACCCCGTTCATGACACGGAGTGCTCCTTGACATCAGGCGGCTATCGGAAGATAAGGTGAGCAGGAGAGGGAAGAAAACACCAAACTCACTCCTCCTGATTGTCGCGAGCCCGTCAACAGTGATAATCCCTCTCCATCTCGGTAAGAGACCAAAATCTCGATACCCCACTGAGCGAAGTCGCCGTCTACCCTATTGATCCGTACCTCGCCCGAACATCCCACTCCTGCCTGTAAGTGATCCACTGGGAGCAGGCGTTACGACCGTACGACTTACGTTCGAAGGCTGCCGAGAACTTGTCACTGACAACTGATACAAGTTCAGTCAAGGCCGGATCGAATTGCGACTAGCACTTGTCAGTGTGATCCTCTTACGATGACTTTTCGGGACCGGCCCAGTATTACCACGACAAATGTGCGAATTATGCCTGTCGCAGATGGGGAATGTTGAGGAATGATAATCCACAATGGGAAGAAACTGACAAGAATTCTATTGATGTCCAAACGGAGTCGTTCCAATTCTTTCCCTTGTTTCTTCACCGAGTCATCTACTTGCGCAAGCTGACGATTAACCCATATCCTCCATACCGATTCGAAAACCGAACCTCTTTTTTCAACCGTTCGTATCTGGCCATGACACCAGGATTGATACCTTCATTAAGCTCCAGCTCGGCGCTGATAGCTGCCAGCTGGTCTTTGCATTCTTGCACTGAAGGACACATCTCGTCCTGTTATACTCAGCCGATCCTCTCGAATCAACTATCTAAATGAGACGAAGTGACTGACCTTGCATCGATCGGCAATTTCCTGGTTCATTTCCTTCGATTTGCCTTCGATGACATCCTTGACTCTGCCGACCTGTTCACTGACTTGCTTTGCGAGCTCAGCACTTTTCCTCGTCACTACTTGATCAGTTCTGAGACACCTGACAGTGGTCGCGAGCGGATTGCTTGCAACGTCATAACAGATGAGCTTACAGTCTTCGATTTGTGTCTGAAGGGAATCAGCGAGGGCATCTCCCTCGACGGCCTCATGCGCTATGGCTGTCTGGTCCCCCTGACGGACGACGTGCCTCAAATCGGCGACGACGAGCTGATCACAAGTATCAAGAATGTCTTCACACGCTTTCTGTAAAGTCAGCCTGGGTCTGCTGATAGTCAGGAGAACAGTACCAAGTATTTCTTCAAAGGTATCTTGCGCCTCAACACGGATTGGTGTTTTCGAGCTTTGAGATCCGCCCTTTGAACGTCCGCCGACGGTTCTTGCTCCAATTCGGCCAATTTACGTTGTGCAGTGTCTATTTCATCAGAAGAGCCGAAGGGTTCGACTTACTCAAATCATGATGAGCTTTCTCATACTTTTGACCGTTGTGCCGGATCTCTTTCATCTCTTCATCGATCTGGTTCTGTGATTTCAGCGTAGTACAACAATATCGTGACGATGTAATACTGTGGAGGACTATTTGTTATACCACTCACACTCGCATCATGGGCAGCTTTGACCGACTCCCGCGCCTGGCCTTCCTCTTTCCTCAACCGCTGTTGCGGTTCCTCTGCTTCGATTTGTGCCTTCTTAAGCGAGGCGATCTCCTCCACTACCCTCTTCACCGCTGCTGTGTCTACAGTTAAATTGAATGCTCTGGCCGGAGCAGGTTGGTAGTTCGAGAACTGGAAATCCCGACGGCCGTAGGAGGATTGGATCGCGCGCACTATGTCTGTTTTGGTAGCCCAACTCCGTATCCCTGCACGCGCGACAGCATTTGAATCGATCTCCGATCCGGGTCGTTGAGTTACGGCCTCCTGATTAGCGTCCGTCAAGAATTAGACTGGATGAACTTACGTGGCCGTAGAGATGACAGTTTTCATTTAAAAATGCGATTACCGCCGGATCAGCATCGACGTAGTCAATTGCCCATCCATCGAAGCCCAGTGCCGCCAGCTACGGAATCAGTCATGTTCACGTGTGAAAGCGAAACATACCTGATCAATGCTGCACGGACGTTGAGGGTTGACATTCTTGTCTGTGACTTCCAGGAAGACAAGTAAAGACCGACCTTGCCAGCTGAGTAATACTGATTTTTGCTATTTTTCCCAGCAGGTACGGGGTACCGTTCAGATCGAGCAGTCGGTTGTAATCCCTTTGACTCTGACAAATGAAGGTCTAGTAATCAATCAGGCGCATCATTTAATCCGACAGACTAACCTTCCGTTGGGCGAGACTCGTCCCAGCCTCAACTTGCCAGGCATGGGCTTGATTCCGTACGTTGACAGAGATCATCGGTGGTTTGGCTACGGGTGCCTCCAATTCGTGCCCATGTTTCTCCAACCAGTCAAGGGCGAAAGCAATAGAAGGATCAAGATCGCGTGCCATGTTTTCTCTTTGAATTTCAACATTCGAAAGCTCTTGCTGTCGTTTTGACAAGCTCTCAATCCGGTGACTTCTTTCGCTGACATCCTTCAGGACAGTCTGGCACTGGTCGTACAGCTTCTGGTGCTTATCCACGGCCACTCGAGCTTTGGCAACGAGATCACGCTGGATGGATTAGTCAGGGCAAATTTAGAAAACATATGAGAGCTCACCTTCTCGTGCTGCTTGGCTTGTAGCTGCTCCTCCAAATTGGCGCGAGGGGTAGACAAGATCGCCTGAGCGTCTCGTATCTTACCTCTCTGACGTTCTTTGTCATCCTCGTGGCGCTTGATGCGGGTTTTCAACCGTGCTAGCTCATCCTCGATTTGCTCTCCTGCTCGGACCTGAAAATAAGACAATTGTGTGACCGCGAAGAAACACGCCTACTTCTTTCTCGATCTCGTTTCCCCTACTTTTAAGAAATTGCTTCTCCTCTTTGAGGCGCTGGTCCAAACGTTGACTATTGACACCAGCCTTTTTCGTGAGATTCATGACGTGTCTGTCAAGATCAGCCCAGGACTCAGATAGCTGACTCACTCTTGTAAGTCTAACAGTGGCTGCCGTTTTGCGTTCAATTCTTTCATTTGCTGTCTCATACGCAAACGCTCGTCCCTGGTGTGCTGGTGTTGTTTGCGGACTTCCGTGTTCTGAGCCACGAGCAGAAGTACTTCCAGGACACCTCGCTGGTCTGCTTCAGCTCTTTCAACATATTTTGGCAATGAACCTACCTCAAATTCTTGATCCCGACGTTTCAGCAAATTTTCTACGTCGGGCTCCAGGGTATCGACCTGTCCTTTCAGGTTGTCCCTACGTATGACGAGCCCATCGTAAGTCTAACCGGTGAGCGGCCGTCCGACAGTCTAGGTGGTGGACCCACCTCTTCAACAGCCCTCCGCTCTTCTCCCTTGACACACAGATCTTTGTGCCATCTAGTCAACCTGGGATCACCGGCTGCTAGCATAGTCGCATGGAGAACCTCAATGGGCGCCATCTTGGCAAATTCGGCAACCTTGTCTTGAGGAAGAAAAGAGCTTCAATCAGTTGGTGCAATGCATATAATGAGTCCGACATACCATAGATTGTTGGCTTGGATCCCGCTGTTGGCCACAAGTTCTTGGACAGCTCTCTTCGTCGAATCCTCACCTGCGACATCAGATGAACAGTTTATCAGGAGAAGCAATGTCTCTCACGGTTCAACTTCCAAGTCGATTTTTCACTTTCTTTGGAAAACACACGTCCGATGATGGCGTTCGGCTCCCCACCCTTCCCCTTCAGTTCGATCTCTGTCTCGCATTCTTCGGAGCCTTGTTTGACGTAGGACCTCAACTCTTTTGCTCGTCCCATTACCTGAGCGTCAGCACGATGCAATCATGAATGTTCCCGCAGCATGGCCATGGGATGATGAGAGAAAACACGTACTTTAGGAGCAAAGCCTAACCCTATGGCAATACAGGCAGCGATTGAAGATTTTCCCGTCCCATTGGGCCCTAAGATCATGTTGAGATGAGGGCCTGGGCAAAATTCGACATGATCGTACGTCATGAAATTTCTCATTTTAATTCGGACAATACTCCCGGCTACATATCTATCCTTGTGAGCTTCTTCTCATTCCAATCATGAGTTTGGTAGAACTTACCCATCATCTCCTCGGTCGTAACTTCGCTTATAGCCCTCGCGCATGGGCCTCTTAACCTCTATCTCGCCGTCGTCGTCGTCCATCTCATGATCATCCTCCTCGTTTGTGTCGTGACTTGTATGCTCAATGTGCTTCTTTCGTCGATGACCTCGGCCCGCTTCGTCATTGTCCACTGAAATCGCTGGCGGGTCCGCCTCCATAGGAGAACTGGGTCGACTCTTCTTGAGCCGTGCGGATCGAGGACTCTCCTCCCCCTCAATGTCAGAAGATGGCTCTCTATTCTTTCTTTTGCTGTTCCCGTTAATCATTGTCCCCCGAGCTGACCCGCCCGGGGAAGACATGTCGGTGCAATTGGGAGTGAGGAGGAGAGAAGTGGGGCGTGGAGGAAAACCGTCTTCACGACGCGTGACTGTGTTCTCAACTTTGAGGCACGGAGCGGGATCAAACCCACGTGGCTTGCCCATCCCCACATCTCGACTCGGCTGCACCTTTCTCCTACGATGGTGAACCATACATGTCCTGGCTACAAGCGCCTATAACGAGCTTGGGGACGAAGCATCCATCTTGAGCTCTCTGATTTTGACCGTAGATACCCATGGCTTAGTATTGAGACCGATAGATCCAACCTGCAGTGCTCGTGGCTCTTTCCCCCAGCTCTCCCCTACGGCCCCTCCATCAACATGTCATCCGATAATCTCAAGAAGAATGGCGAGCCATCTACCTCCTCACAAACTCTCAGAACCCTCCCGTTTGAGACATTGCCTCCATCGATCCTGGACCCCATCCAGACCGACTACTTCGAGACCCTTGACCCAGCATTGATCAAGCAAGAGTTACACGATGTACTCGGGGCCAATGGATTACCTTACTGGAAAGCCATGAACGGTTACCTTCTGGGGCAGTTAGGTAGAGCGGAAGTTTTGGATATGATACGAGGCTTCTTGAAGGGGAAAGATTGTGAGTTTCTCGATATCATAATTGCGATCGAGGGGCAAACATTGTTCATTCAGAGACAACAAGCCATGAATCATACGGCATATGAAAACCCAGCACTGACTGAATAGTAACACTTCACAATCGTCTTCTCATGTCTCTTTTACAATCCGCTTCTGATCCTTCTTCATTGTCGCCAGGAGCTCTTTTGAGAAAGCGAAGAAGAGCAGGTGAACAAGACGGGTTCGACATGGATGACACTCATATCGAACCTTCCACTCGTGTACAGACTTGGTTGTCGGGTATCACAGCTCGTGACAGAGTACGTATACGACGTACTGTACTTGGGCAAGATAAGGAGAACGGTGTTAATGAGGATGGGGATGGGGATGGTGCCTCAACGAATGGTATATCGAAGAATAAACGTAATCCCTTTTCCCGTGAGTACTTCATTGTCTTTGCTGATTTATTCGACACTGATCAATGCAGAAGCTATTCTACCACGACTTGCGCCATCTCAACGTCTTCTTCCCTCCTCCATACAACTGTATCAACGTCTGTCCACACTTGCCCAAGCATCCGGCCTCACACTAGCTCCGGAAGGAGAACACGACATCGGCGAGTTCATGGCTGTCAGTATGGACGCTCATCTTTCCGACGTTTTACATTCCCTCGTACATCTCACAGGGAGAAACACACCCGGCACAATCCGTCTTGGTCGTAAACGTCGACGATCTCACTCCTCAGATGAGGTCACTCCTGAACCATTCGTGGATGGATATATCCCAAAACCCGACTTGTCGTCGTTGCAATCACTCTTCACTTTGGCTCCTGGTCTGCATCCTCAGGCTTCTCCGGCGTTGTACAAATTGTCAAGCTCTCTCGCGGAATCGCAGAAAGAGAATCAGGCGGGAGGGGTAGATGGAGTGTACACGGACAGGAGAACAGCAAGAAGGACAGACGGTATGAAGAGTCCTGATAGGTCTTTCTCGGGGAATCCACAGGATGCCAAAGTGGCTGAGCTGGCAGAGAAGGGTTTACTCAAGGTGGATAAGGCCGGCAGGCAGAGCGAGGCGGGGGAGGAAGGAGGAAAGAAGGCGAAGAAACACACGTTGCATTGGCTGTATGAGGATCCAGCATTGATACTCAAAGATGTCATGGGATGATGGAGAGCATATGCATCGATCGTGGTGAGACTTGTTCATCTTTCGTGTTGTACAACTTTTCCAGTTCGACGAGTTCTACTGTACGACGGATGCATGTGTGTACTCGCAAATACGTTACTCGTGGTCGTAGGCTATGAACCTCTCAATGAAGCGACGCTACCGGGCTTGATGCGGTAGGCGCCATTGATCGTTTCCATCGGACTTAAGGTAACGCCGAAACTCCGCTGAACCGCCACTTTCAACTTCCTCTCTTCAACCTTCACTTCTTCTCCGTTCGAGCCTTCAGTATACACCTCATACAACATGGTGAGTCCTCGTTAGCCCCATATAACTTGCCCATCATCATGTACCATCCTCCTCCTCTGATGTTGAAAACTCCACGGAGACGCAGAGTCAGATCCTTCTTAATCAATCGTCGCTGACAGTTTAGGAAGCCCAAGCAAAAGTCCCAGTCAAGCTTGCTCGTGTTATCAAGGTCAGTCGTTCGATAGCCCGTCTCTTCCAACATCTATCTCCTTCATAGCCTGATGTTCCATCCTGCACGATACAATCCTCACAGGATGGACTCCTGCGCGGTTGTCTCCCACGCGGTGTTGCGGCGTCCGGTGACTTCACGCGGATTTCTCCTATAGCCCACAGCCATTCACAAGGTCGATACTCCAACGGCGCCGGGCAGCTGGACTTTACGGGCCATGTCAAGTCCAGTCGCATTCTCTTTTCGGGCGACACGGATGGACTGATGGCCGGATGGATGGATGGACGGAAAGCAGTAACGAGGGAGGAAGTCGCGCTTTGTAGAACTGGAAGTCGAGTTTTATACGGACGGAAACTGACCTGTAGGTGCTCGGTCGTACCGGTTCCCGAGGTGGTGTGACACAAGTCCGTGTCGAATTCCTTGACGACGTCTCCCGATCTATCATTCGAAATGTCAAAGGTCCCGTGAGGCTGTATGACATCCTCGCTTTGCTCGAGAGTGAACGAGAGGCTCGGTGGGTTTCTCTACTTCTGCGCCGGAATTTCATCGTCCTCGTACATTCTTCTCTTCTCACGTATCTTTGAATTGGCTCTACCCTGTCTTTCCGTCTCGATCCACTTCCCGTCAAGTCGCCTCATCTCTACGAACGTAATCTTGTGCTGTACCCGGACGCTTCGCTGTCATCATGGTACATACGACGACATGATGCAAGAGATTTCTAGAGCGGGTCGAGACGTTTGCTAATCTGACAGTCGACTGCGTTGATATCACTCCATGTCAGCATCGGATTGACGTCGACAGGAGGACTCGTGGATGGGTGTTGAGAGAGGGTGCATGGTATGACTCGGCTCGCTACTTCGTCTTTCCCTTCAGAGCACATGCATCGTTTGTATTCATCACAACGAAATTTTCGCATCGTCACGCACGTCTAGTAAGCTGTCGAATTAAGACTAGCCTTGTCGGTATCAGTCATGCTTTATGTTGCCAATGTTTGATAGCTGTATAGCTGTAGTAGCTGAGTATTCGGTGTCCGGCAGAGACCCTTGCCTCCACCTGAGGTCTCCACCTAGCTTGACTTGTGTCATTAGCCCTTACATCCTTTCTATATCTAACAACTCGATCGCGAAGGTTTATTCTTCTTCGATCTCTGACCTCCTCCATCATCTGCTATGTCTAACGAAACTCCTGGTACCACGACACCTAAACCGGACATTGCAGAGCACAAGATAGCATGGTCCCTTCCTTCTCAACTGCTCCCTCGATCAGTCTCACCAGATTGTGAGTCCCTCTTCCTCTTCTCCTCTTTCCCTCTTCCCTCTTCCCTCTTACCTCTTACCTCTTCCTTCTTC